CACCTTAGGTGTATGTGGCTGGCACCTTAGCCGCTTGAGCCACAGGCTCTGAGCCCAATTACTTTTCTGTCATTGTTAATCTCTTCTAACTAAAACTTAAGCTCCATGAGGGCAGGAATTTTTGTTTTATTGGCACTATTTCCAGTGCCTCATTCTATTATCATGGGGATTGAAAGATAATTGGCTAAAATTGAACACATTAACAACAAAAAATCTTGTAAGAAAAAATTAAAAGCAGTTACTGGCTAGGGATGGTGGCTCAGTCCTGTAATCTCAGCACTTTGGGAGGCAAAGGTGGGAAGATCACTTGTGGCCAGGAGTTTAAGACCAATCTAGGCAACAAAGTAAGACCTGGTCTCTATGAAATATTTAAAAATTAGGCAGGCATGATGGCATGTGCCTGTCGTCCCAGCTATTTAGGAGGCTAAGGCAGGAGAATGACTTAGCCCAGAAGTTCAAGGTTGCAGTGAGCGATGATAGCACCACTGCACTCTAGCCTGGGCAATAGAGTAAGACCCTGCTCAAAACAAGACAAACTCCCAAACCTTATCCTAAAGAACTTGTAACAAATAATTTACCTTTACCTTACCCTAAACCTAGATCAACTCTTCAGAGTTAACTTTAATTTTTTTTATTTTTAATTTTTTTTCGAGGCAGAGTCTCACTTTGTCACCCTCAGCAACCTCCAGCTCTTCGGCTTAGGTAATTCTCTTGCCTCAGCCTCCCGAGTGCTTGGACTACAGGTGCCCACCACAATGCCTAGCTATTTTTTTGTTGCAGTTTGGCCAGGGCCGGGTTTGAACCTGCCACCCTCAATATATGGGGCCAGTGCCCTACTCACTGAGCCACAGGCACTACCCAGTAACTTTTTTTTTTGAGAGCCTCAAGCTATTGCCCTGGGTAGAGTGCTATAGCATCACAGCTCACAGCAACCTCAAACTCCTGGGCTTAAGCAATTCTCTTGCCTCAGCCTTCCGAGTAGTGGGGACTATAGGCACCCACCACAACACCTGGATATATTTTTGGTTGTAGTTGTCACTGTTTGGCAGGCCCAGGCTGGGTTTGAATCCTCCAGCTCTGGTGTTATGTGGCTGGTGCCTTAGCCACTTGAGCTACAGGCACCACACAATAATTCTTTTCTTTTTTCAGACAGAGTCTCACTTTGTTGCCCTCAGTACAGTGCCATAGCATCACAGCTCACTGCAACCTCAAACTCTTGGGCTCAACCGATTTTCTTGCCTCAGCCTCCTAAGTTGCTGGGACTACAGGCACCCGCCACAACACCCAGCTATTTTTTGTTGCAGTTGTCACTTGTTTTGCAGGCCCTGGCCAGGTTCAAACCCACCAGCCTTGGTGTATGTGGTTGGTGCCCTACCCACTGAGCTATAGATGCCACCCCCAGAGTTAACTTTTATTTAAGAGACAGGGTCTAGCTCTGTCAGAATGCAATGGCATGATCATAGCTAACTTCAGCCTTGAACTTGTGGG